AAAAAAAAAAAAAAAAAAAAAAATCAGATTAGCATTTTGTGGGATTGAACCTTCCTCCTCTTCTATCCACTGCTGGCTTTTAAATGCAGGACGAACGCCAGGGTCCGTGCACCGTTTAGCAGCCTCTGACCCCACTGATGCACGGTGACATGAGCCAAAAATCAGAGGCTTCATGGTGGGAAGAAGGAAGATGGTGAGCTCTTTGGGGCAGAGGCTATCTCTTTGCATTGCATTTCCAAAGCACACAGACCTGGTCCGTGTCTGACAAGGTTCTTTGGGTAAATGCAATATTTTTTATTAGACTAACTAAATAGTAGGACTATTTAGTTGGTCTATTAGGACTATTTAGTTGGTCTATTAAACTAAGCTGGTCTAATAAAAGATACCTCATTTACCCAAAGAACCGTGTCTGTCCATGTCCTTAAACCAACATGGCTACAACCAACACCTTGGTCCATGACTGGCGCTCCGAGGTGCTATTATACTGAAAATAAAAAGAAAAACAATAAAGTTGTTTGAAGCTTAAAACGCACAGTTTTGATTCCCTTTTCCACAAAAAAATTAAAAAAAGGTTTGGGGTTGGGTTTTTTTTGTAAATGTGTCATCATTTTTCAGAAATGTAAAACCCTCAAACTCTTGGTTCAGAGTTTGGCATTTCTTTTTGTCTCAGACCAACACAGCTACCACATACATCCCTGAATCATTTTTCAGCCAACTCACAAATCTGGAAGAATTCCCTCATAGAAGATCAAATTGCAGTGAACCATTTTAATGAAAAAAAAAAAAATGGTGGTTTCCATAAGAAACGCCCTAGGCTTTTTTAGTTGGCTTCATACATTGCCCATGTTGTGGTTCTTTTTCAACACCAACACAATTTTGCCACCCACACCTGACAGTCTGCATAAAAGAAAGAAAGGCTTTGGCTTTCTGATTTTCCATCATATTCGAGCTATACATTGCATTTTCCAAGGCATTTTATGTTTATCCAAGACTAATACATCCCACTTGGGGCTGGGCTAATAAAGAGGTGAGCAGATAAGATTTCAGGCTCGGGAACAGGGGAATGAGGGTTCTTAATTACCACTCAGTATGACATCCTATTTTATGCATGAACCCATTTATCCCCACACTCTCCCACGGCCATGTCAACTCAACCTGCCATGGAAAGACCACGGCTAGGGCTGGAAAAGTGACGGTAATTCCCTATGGACAGCTCAGTCTTTTGCATTTCTGCTGTGACAACCAAAGAAGTGTTAATTAGTACTGACTGCTGAGAAATAAAGGACTTCCTGAACTTAGCCCGCTACAATGACTTTTGACATCAAGGACTCCTCAGATGATGAGCGCTCACTTCTGTCACTCGAGTTGACTGGATTTGAACCAGCCACTGAGAGGAGAAAGGCTACCGGACAAGCCAAATGAC